TTTTACTCTTTCTTCTTTCATTCTCTTCTTTTCTTTCGCTTTCAATTCTTCTCCTCCCCTCCCCTTGCATTCGCCTCCCACCATACGGATGGTTCGTTTACTCGGTGCGTGCACGTGTACCGTTGGTGATCTTGCTGTTGATGATGTAATTAGCGGTGTTTGCTCTTTTGATTTAGATAACACCCCGTTTTCTTCCCGACTCTTGTCGCGGCGCTCGACTCGTAATTGCCCGATCCTTGAGAGGATCGTTTTCCGGAGATTCTCGGGGATTTTACTCGTCCCTTTTTTTAAATTTCCTTTGTTTCTTTCTCCTGTTTTTTTTTCTCTCTCTCTTTCGTCGGATATTTCTTCATTGACGAATTCAACGCGTTAACGATTGTTATTTCGCGTTTCGTTCGAATGGGACGATTATTAATTATGCATACACGGTTGATATGTCGATTTAATGATATGGTAATGTATTATTAAATTTATTTGCTAGAAATTAGAAGTGATTGAAAGTGATTCTAGATGTGAAAATAGATTGATTTTTCTCAACGTTTTAATCTTTTCGAAGGAGAAACGTCGAAAATAATGTTTCGTGCGCATGCACTCAACCGCGCGTCGAGTGCACGTTCAACTCAATTTCGTGTGTACTTTGCATTCGTTTCGACGGGCGGTTAAGTACGTGCGTATCGAGCAAACATTCAAAATTCAATTTCAGAAATTAAATGTTGAATAAAAAAAAATTTTCTTTACTTTTGGATTTATTTTTGCACGTACAATTCTCCCTCTTTCTAAATTTGATTTAAACATTCATAACATTTATGAACAAGGAAATGACGAGACGTTGAATATTTGAATAATTACAATTACTCGATAATAGGAAAACAATTAAAAATCCTTTTCAATTCGAACAAGTTTCCGATACCTTTCGTGAAAACAGAAGCAACATTCAAACAATTGAAAGACGTTTATTAATCGCTTTTCAGACGAGAAGAAAAGAGTTATTGTTCCGTTTCCTACGTCATACACACATTTCCTATGCCCCGCTTCTTACGCTTCCTTTTCATATTTTATGTACCCGACCTATCTATCTGCTCGTCGATCACGCGCCTCTCTCTCTCTCTCTCTCTCAATATCCCTGTCTTTTTTATCCTTTTTCCTCCACTTTGTCGCGATGCATGAAAGTATACCACCGTCGACATGACGCAGGGGATGAAATCTTTTGTTCCGTGCGTGGATCCGAAAAAGGGAAAACGCGGTTCAAAGCGATAACATCAGCATCGATACGAATCAAACGACGTGTTACGGTGCCTCGTCGTGCCACGTCATTTGAACGTGATGCGAAGAACGATAGGAAAAATATCGATAAGTTTGAAATGTTTGAAAAATATTTCTTCT